CCGTGAGCGTGAATCGAACTCGGGACGCCAAGTTCGCAGCACAGCACGCTAACCACTGCGCCACCGCTCCGCACTCTTGCACATACACAATCACACATCCATTCCCAAGCACAGCATTGACACACGCACCTTTACACATACACACACACTCGCACGCTCTCACTCATTACGCACACATGTCCATACTCTTTCTCACGGATACTTTACATAGTCCCAAACACACACACGCAGAATTTGACACACAGCTACACACACGATCACATACTCACCTAATCACACATTATACCTCTCTCATGTTGCACACATACACAGCAACAAAGACAAAGTTCCCACGTATAGCCTCTTACATACTGCTGGGGCAAGTGCTGTTAGAGAGCACCTATGAAGCCTGGAACGGCGCACAAGGGGGTGGGTGGCCAGCACCACGCCCGGCCGCCTTTGTCTCCCTGGTGGCGATGTTTACACACCCCACCAGGTACTCATTTGAGGCTGAATCGACCTAGGGGAGGCCCAGGACCGCTCTACACACGCACACAAATCGTCCATCACTGCCTGCGCTCGGCCCCTACCTTCACCACCTCCCCCCCTACAGATTGCCCCCACCCCCTCGCCCACTGGCCCCTCCCCTCCCGCCCCGCGGCCTCCATCTGGCCGTCACGTTGCGTTAGAAGCCGCTCAGAGTTTAACTGCGCCCGAGCTGATTAATTAAAGCCAGACCTAGGCCGTCTCTTCAGCTTAATGCCATTTACTGCGCCATTACAAGCAAGCCCTACCTCCCTCCCTCCCACCCGGCCACAGGTCTCCTCTCCCACCCTCCCTCCCACCCGGCCACAGGTCTCCCCTCCCTCCCTCCCACCCGGCCACAGGTCTCCTCTCCCACCCTCCCTCCCACCCGGCCACAGGTCTCCTCTCCCTCCCTCCCTCCCACCCGGCCACAGGTCTCCTCTCCCTCCCTCCCACCCGGCCACAGGTCTCCCTCCCTCCCACCCTCCCACCCGGCCACAGGTCTCCCCTCCCTCCCTCCCTCCCACCCGGCCACAGGTCTCCTCTCCCACCCTCCCTCCCACCCGGCCACAGGTCTCCCCTCACTCCCTCCCACCCGGCCACAGGTCTCCCCTCCCTCCCTCCCACCCGGCCACAGGTCTCCCCTCCCTCCCACCCGGCCACAGGTCTCCCCCTCCAGCCATGCAGCCATTGCACAAGCAGGCCGCTCGCCAGTGCCACCGCCAGTGCCGTAATTCTCCAGCCAGTGCTGTTGGTCGGCAAATCAAGGGGGCTTCCAGCCAATCCTCTATCCCAGGGGTCGGCAACCTGCGGCTCCTTAAAGAGCCTCGTGCGGCTCTTTAAGGAGCCGCTTCGTGACCGTTCTTTAATGAGGACCGCATCCTGTCGCGTATTCACCACGCGGTGCATTGCGGCTCTGAGTTTTTTTTGTACCAAATTCGGAGAAAAAAAATTCCCTCCTTGTTATTTCGGTTTCCGACCCCTGCTCGAGCCAGTCCTGTGAGTCAGCCAATCAAGGGGGCTTCCAGCCAATCAAGGGGGCTTCCAGCCAATCAAGGGGGCTTCCAGCCAAGCAAGGGGGCTTCCAGCCGATCAAGGGGGCTTCCAGCCAATCAAGGGGGCTTCCAGCCGATCAAGGGGGCTTCCAGCCGATCAAGGGGGCTTCCAGCCAATCAAGGGGGCTTCCAGCCAATCAAGGGGGCTTCCAGCCAATCAAGGGGGCTTCCAGCCAATCAAGGGGGCTTCCAGCCAATCAAGGGGGCTTCCAGCCAATCCTCGTGTCCGTCCACTCGAAGGTGTCCCCGCTCGCTCTCTCTCTGCCTCGGGCGCGTTCCCCTCCTCCTCGCTGCCGTTCCGTGATTAGTCTCGACCACCGGGCAGCGCGGAGACGCGGGAAGGTGAACTCGAACAGCGAGTCACCGGCTCGGCATTAGCGGCTGCTCGACGTGGGGCTGTGCCAGTAGCCCCCCATGGCCAAAGCTACGAGATCCCCCGCCTTGACAACCACCTTGAGATATCCATAATATCGTTTTCTTTAGTTAGATCGCGTAGATATAAATGCGTCGTTAAACTTGCCACCACCCGACACAGCCAATTATTAAGGTTTGTCACGTATTTGGCTGTCGTCTGATGAAGTTATAATTACTGGCGAAACGTCGTACTTAAAATGTAAATGTTGTGGGTTTACTCTCCAACACACCGGTGTGCTGTACTAGTAACGAATTGGCACGTTCTGTTTACGTGACAAACCTTTACTAAATGTCTGTGTCGGGTGGTGGCGGATTTAACGGCACATTTATATTTACTCAATCTAACCCAAACAAGCTCTATTATGGATTACATTGGTCGCGACAGCCTACGTGTTAAACTAACCATGAGATATGTTCTCAACAAGAGTGTAAAACAACAACAACAACAGTGTAAAACTAAAACATTGTAAAACAACAACAACAACAACATTGTAAAACAACAACAGTGTAAAACAACAACAACATTGTAAAACAACAACAGTGTAAAACAACAACAACAACAGTGTAAAACTAAAACATTGTAAAACAACAACAACATTGTAAAACAACAACAGTGTAAAACAACAACAGTGTAAAACAACAACAACAGTGTAAAACAACAACAACAACAACAGTGTAAAACAACAACAAAAACAACAGTGTAAAACAACAACAGTGTAAAACAACAACAACAACAGTGTAAAACAACAACAGTGTAAAACTACAACATTGTAAAACAACAACATTGTAAAACAACAACAACAGTGTAAAACAACAACAGTGTAAAACAACAACATTGTAAACAACACATTGTAAAACAACAACAACAACAAGAGTGTAAAACAACAACAGTGTAAAACAACAACAGTGTAAAACTACAACATTGTAAAACAACAACATTGTAAAACAACAACAACAACAGTGTAAAACTACAACATTGTAAAACAACAACAACAACAGTGTAAAACAACAAGTGTAAAACAACAACAGTGTAAAACAACAACAACAGTGTAAAACAACAACAACAACAGTGTAAAACAACAACAACAACAACAGTGTAAAACTACAACATTGTAAAACAACAACAGTGTAAAACAACAACAACAACAGTGTAAAACAACAACAACAGTGTAAAACAACAACAACAACAGTGTAAAACAACAAGAGTGTAAAACAACAAGAGTGTAAAACAACAACAACAAGAGTGTAAAACAACAAGAGTGTAAAACTACAACAGTGTAAAACAACAAGAGTGTAAAACAACTAAAACGCGATCACGTGATGAGGCAAGAGGAGCTGCGAGATGTAACAGCCGCGAGGTGCGGACCGTCCGAGACAAATCTAAAATTGGAGCCCCCCCTCTGAGTGACTACGGCACCCCCTCTAAGTGACTACGGCACCACCTGAGTGACTACGGCACCCCCTGAGTGACTACGGCACCCCCTGAGTGACTACGGCACCACCTGAGTGACTACGGCACCCTCTAAGTGACTACGGCACCCTCTGAGTGACTACGGCACCCCCTGAGTGACTACGGCACCCTCTAAGTGACTACGGCACCCTCTAAGTGACTACGGCACCACCTGAGTGACTACGGCACCACCTGAGTGACTACGGCACCCTCTAAATGACTACGGCACCCCCTGAGTGACTACGGCACCCTCTGAGTGACTACGGCACCACCTGAGTGACTACGGTACCACCTGAGTGACTACGGCACCCTCTAAGTGACTACGGCACCCTCTAAGTGACTACGGCACCCCCTGAGTGACTACGGCACTCCCTGACCGACTACGGCACCACCTGAGTGACTACGGCACCCCCTGAGTGACTACGGTACCACCTGAGTGACTACGGCACCCCCTGAGTGACTACGGCACCCTCTAAGTGACTACGGCACCACCTGAGTGACTACGGCACCACCTGAGTGACTACGGCACCCTCTAAGTGACTACGGCACCCCCTGACCGACTACGGCACCCTCTGGGTGACTACGGCACCACCCGAGTGACTACGGCACCCTCTAAGTGACTACGGCACCCCCTGAGTGACTACGCCACTGGTTTGGGTAAAAGCCACTGCTCTAGGCAGCCCCATAGTTGGCATCGGAAGGTTCAGAAATTAAATCCGGTTCGGAGGTTGACTCATCAACAGCGGTGTGCCCTGGCGACAGAGTCGTCCGCATCAATGGAACGTGGAATTTCCACCAATTCCTCCACAGTGCAGCGCACCGGGAGTTGAACACCAATGGCTCATTGCTCGTTGGACCTAGGAGATCCCTCTGGACTTCAGGAGTTTTGTTTAAGGGCCCTGCGAATGTGAAGCGTCACGCTAGACACTCGGGTGGCAAGGGTTGATCGATCGCGCGGAGATTTGTGAAATTCCCCAACGACCCCCACTGGTGGCAAGGAAATAGCAGCACAGAAAGTGGGTTTGTGAGCCCGTCTCACGGCAAAGAGGCCTTGCAGTGTTACCCATTGTAGTGCTGTATTGTGGTGGTCAGTGTAAGGCAGTGCAGCAGTATCCTTCGCCGTACGATACGAATTATAATAATATGAACGATGTCAACTCGTGACGCGCCACGCAGTGTTCGCTCGTCGAGAGAGAGAGGGGGGTGGGGCGACTCAGGGATGCGAGGAGGAAGAACCACAGACGAGGAGCGGGGAGGCAGCAGCAGCAGCACCACCCATGCATGTGAGGTGCCGGCGCCAAACAATTTCCCCAGCTCTGCGGTCCTCTATATATATCTAGATGCCAATGAATGCGTATTTTCTCGTGGGAGTAAAACAGGAGCATCCGGAGAAAACCGGCACGTGCGAGGGGGGACAACTCTATCTCACACAACAAACGGAGTCCACGTGGTTTTTGTTTTTTGCTGCGCTGCCATATCCCGGCGAGCGAGGGTACGGCACCTCCTCGACGCCCACGGGGAAGGGAGTTTCACAAAATCTGTGTGTGATCCACCAACCCTCACTGCTGCCTCCACAGTGCTGGGTTACAGACAGCCACGTGGAGCATGGCCACCACCACGACTATGCTCCCCGCATTCACCAGCCGGCATGGGCAAGTATGGTAAGATGACCCTCCCACGGACCCGCACGGAGTAGGGAGTCTCATTTGCAAGAGTGACCTCGGCCATGAATCTGCTGCCCGTAGGGGGGAGAGGATGATTGCTGCTGCTGCTGCTGCGCGTGTGTGTGCGTGTGCGCGTGTGTGTAATTCCAACCGAGAGTGTAAGATATAGCAGCTAGGAGTGACGGCCTAGAACTCAAAGACTGAATGTTCGAGAACTAAATGCGAGCGCTCTAGAACCTTTCTACTTGAAGGCTTTAACATCCAGAAGTGACAATCTAGAACTCAGGAGTGACAATCTAGAACTCAGGAGTGACAATCTAGACCTCAAAGAGTTAATGTTCTAGGACTTAAGAGAGAAGCTTTTAGAACTTGCACACTCATCCTCTCCTCGCCCCCCCCCACTCCCCATCCACGCCGCATCCATTATGAATGAACTCTCCCCGAGGGAGCGTCTCCCTTGCAGGATCAGGTGATCGGCGTGAATGGAAGAGGGGAGAGGGGCAGCGAGAGGGGGAGGGGGGGAGAGGCAGGGCAGTGAAGAGGGGAGAAGATCGCTCGTGTAGTCGCTCTCCGGTCGCGGTCCCCTCCTTCCCCTTCAGTCTAATCGTCATGATCATGATCGTCGTCATCATCATCGCCGTCCTCGAAGCGTGATGATGTGAGGATGACGAGCGGAGCTCAGCCCCGCGTCACTTTCTACCGCGTGCCCCCCCAGGAGCTCCACCGGCGCGCCGACCTCGGCTCCGACACGGCCAAGACCAAGGCCCTGCAGACCGTGATCGAGATGAAGGCGCGGCCCGCGGCTTGCACCTGCACTCACACACACCTGTACACACACCTCTACACACACCTGTACACACACCTCTACACACACCTCTACACACACCTCTACACACACCTCTACACACACCTCTACACACACCTCTACACACACCTCTACACACACCTCTACACACACCTCTACACACACCTCTACACACACCTCTACACACACCTCTACAAAAATCCCCCGTATAGCCTTAACAGACTGTAGGGGCAAGGGTGGGTGGCCAGCACCACGCCCGACCGCCTTTGTCTCCCTAGTGGCAATGTTTACACACCGCACCAGGTACTAATTTGAGGCTGAGTCGACCTAGGGGAGGCCCGGGACCGGTTCAGATAATCGTCACTGGTGTTGGCCGTGAGCGGGAATCGAACCCGAGTCGCCGGGTTCATAGCGCAGCGCGCTAATCGCTACACTATCGCTCCCCACTAGAACCTTTCTACTTGAAGGTGTGTGTGTACACCTGTACACACACACCTGTACACACACCTGTACACACCTGTACACACACACCTGTACACACACCTGTACATACACCTGTACACACCTGCACACACACCTTCGCATGCATCTCGGAACATGTGTTCACACCGGTCCTGGGCCTCCTCTAGGTTGACTCAGCCTCCAATGGGTACCTGGTGCGACGTGTAAACAACATCACTGGGGACACGGTGCCCACACCGCTTTGCACCATACCGGATTTCACAGGTGCTCTCTAACAGCACTTGCCCCAACAGTCGGTTGAGGCTATACGGGGGATCTTTGTATTTTCTTGTACTCGCAGGACACAAAGATCGCGTCTCTGGAGAGGACCCTGCGCGACCTGGAGGATGAGATTCAGACGCTGCGCTCCAGCGGGGCTCTCTCCCTCGAGGAGCGGCAGGAGGAGCTCAAGCAGATGGAGGTGTACAAGAGCCACTCCAAGTTCATGAAGAGCAAGGTGAGGCGTGCACTACTCCAAGTTCATGAAGAGCGAGTTGAGGTGTACACTGCTCACTCCAAGTTCATGAAGAGCAAGTTGAGGTGTACACTGCACTACTCCAAGTTCATGAAGAGCAAGTTGAGGTGTACACTGCTCACTCCAAGTTCATGAAGAGCAAGTTGAGGTGTACACTGCTCACTCCAAGTTCATGAAGAGCAAGTTGAGGTGTACACTGCACTACTCCAAGTTCATGAAGAGCGAGTTGAGGTGTACACTGCTCACTCCAAGTTCATGAAGAGCAAGTTGAGGTGTACACTGCTCACTCCAAGTTCATGAAGAGCAAGGTGAGGTGTACATTGCTCACTCCAAGTTCATGAATAGCAAGTTGAGGTGTACACTGTTCACTCCAAGTTCACGAAGAGCAAGTTGAGGTGTACACTGCTCACTCCAAGTTCACGAAGAGCAAGTTGAGGTGTACACTGTTCACTCCAAGTTCATGAAGAGCAAGTTGAGGTGTACACTGCACAACTCCAAGTTCATGAAGAGCAAGTTGAGGTGTACACTGCTCACTCCAAGTTCATGAAGAGCAAGTTGAGGTGTACACTGCTCACTCCAAGTTCATGAAGAGCAAGTTGAGGTGTACACTGCTCACTGCAAGTTCATGAAGAGCAAGGTGAGGTGTACAGCGATCTGCTTCTCAGACTCCCTGCATCCTGGCCACTGAATAACAACGGGGCATCTGCTGGTCTGTGATGTGTGTGTGGTGTGTGATGTCTGTGACGTGTGTGTGTGGTGTGTGTGTGTGACGTGTGTGTCACGTGTGTGTGGTGTGTGATGTTTGTGACGTGTGTGTGTGATGTGTGTAGGATGTGTGTGTGGTGTGTGTGTGGTGTGTGTGTGATGTGTGTGTGATGTGTATGTGGTGCGTGTGTGTGATGTGTGACGTGTCTGTGACGTGTGTGTGATGTTTGTGTGCTTGCATATGTCCATGTGTGATGTGTGTGTGATGTGTGTGTGACTGACGTGTGTGTGATGTTTGTGACGTGTGTGTGATGTTTGTGACGTGTGTGTGGTGTGTGTGGTGTGTGTGTGATGTTTGTGACGTGTGTGTGACGTGTGTGTGATGTTTGTGACGTGTGTGTGACGTGTGTGTGGTGTGTGTTGTGTGTGTGTGGTGTGTGCTTGCGTGATGTGTCTGTGTGTGACGTCTGTGTAACGTGTGTGTGACGTGTGTGTGACGTGTGTGTGACGCGTGTGTGACGTGACGTTCGCCGCGTGCGTCCCGTCGTGTGGCGCGCGGCCCAGATCGACCAGCTGAAGGGCGAGCTGTCCCGCAAGGACACGGAGCAGCTGGGCCTGCAGACCAAGCTGGAGACGCTCACCAACCAGAACTCGGACAACAAGCAGCACATCGAGGTGCTCAAGGAATCCCTCGCCGCCAAGGAGCAGCGGGCCGCCATCCTGCAGGCCGAGGTGTGCAGGCGGTGCAACTGCACGGAGGGGTTGAAGGATGCTGCACCATTGGGTTCCTACGCGAGCCTCTGTGTCCCCTCCTGCTCCCCCTGCTCCTCCTACGCCTCCCGCTCCCTCTTAATCTCCCTTACGCCTCTCCGCTCACTCCGCATCCGCTGCTCTCCACTGCCGCCCATGCTCCTTCCTACTCCTCCGCTCCCCACTGCTCCCCCCGGCTGCTCCCCCCTCTGCTCCCCCCGGGCAGGTGGAGGCGTTGCGCGCGCGTCTGGAGGAGAAGGAGAGCATGGTGGCGCGCAAGGTGCAGCAGGTGCAGGAGCTGGCGGAGGAGAAGGGGTCGCTCGGAGGGGAGATCCGCGACTTCAAGGACATGATGGAGGTGAAGGAGCGCAAGATCAACGTCCTGCAGAAGAAGGTGTGCACGTGTGTGTGTGCACGTGTGTGTGTGTACACGTGTGTGTGTGTGTGTACACGTGTTTGTGTGTGTGTACACGTGTGTGTGTGTACACGTGTGTGTACACGTGTGTGTGTGTGTACACGTGTGTGTGTGTACACGTGTGTGTGTACACGTGTGTGTCTACACGTGTGTGTGTGTGTACACGTGTGTGTGTGTGTACACGTGTGTGTATGTTGTGGGGAGCAGTAGTGCAGTGGTTAGTGTGCTGCGTTACGAAAAATCCAGCGATCCGAGTAGCGAATTATCTAAACCAGTCCTGGGCCTCCCCTAAGTCGCCTCAGCCTCAAACGAGTTCCTTGTGCGGTGCGTGGTGCGAGCTTCTAGTTTATGTTCCGTTTCGCGATGTCTCCTGCCGTCTCCCGCTGTCTCACTCTGTCTCACTCTGTCTCCCCCTGTCTCACTCTGTCTCCCCCTGTCTCACTCTGTCTCACTGTCTCCCCCTGTCTCACTTTGTCTCCCCCTGTCTCACTCTGTCTCACTGTCTCCCTCTGTCTCCCCCTGTCTCACTCTGTCTCACTGTCTGCCCCTGTCTCCCTCTGTCTCCCTCTGTCTCCCTCTGTCTCCCCCTGTCTCACTGTCTCCCTCTGTCTCACGCTGTCTCCCCCTGTCTCACTATGTCTCACTCTGTCTCCCTCTGTCTCACTCTGTCTCCCCCTGTCTCCCTCTGTCTCACTCTGTCTCCCCCTGTCTCCCTCTGTCTCCCCCTGTCTCACTCTGTCTCCCCCTGTCTCACTCTGTCTCCCTCTGTCTCACGCTGTCTCCCCCTGTCTCACTATGTCTCACTCTGTCTCCCTCTGTCTCACTCTGTCTCCCCCTGTCTCCCTCTGTCTCACTCTGTCTCCCCCTGTCTCCCTCTGTCTCCCCCTGTCTCACTCTGTCTCCCCCTGTCTCACTCTGTCTCACTCTGTCTCCCTCTGTCTCCCTCTGTCTCCCCCTATCTCCCTCTGTCTCCCCCTGTCTCCCCCTGTCTCACTCTGTCTCCCCCTGTCTCCCTCTGTCTCCCCTTGTCTCACTCTGTCTCCCCCTGTCTCCCCCTGTCTCACTCTGTCTCACTCTGTCTCCCTCTGTCTCCCCCTGTCTCCCCCTGTCTCCCTCTGTCTCCCCTTGTCTCCCCCTGTCTCCCCCTGTCTCCCTCTGTCTCCCCCTGTCTCCCTCTGTCTCCCCCTGTCTCACTCTGGCTCACTCTGTCTCCCTCTGTCTCACTCTGTCTCACTCTGTCTCCCCCTGTTTCACTCTGTCTCCCGCTGTCTCCCTCTGTCTCCCTCTGTCTCCCCCTGTCTCACTCTGTCTCACTCTGTCTCCCTCTGTCTCCCTCTGTCTCGCCCTGTCTCCCCCTGTCTCACTCTGTCTCCCCCTGTCTCCCCCTGTCTCACTCTGTCTCCCGCTGTCTCCCTCTGTCTCCCTCTGTCTCACTCTGTCTCCCCCTGTCTCCCTCTGTCTCCCTCTGTCTCCCTCTGTCTCACTCTGTCTCCCCCTGTCTCCCCCTGTCTCACTCTGTCTCACTCTGTCTCCCTCTGTCTCCCCCTGTCTCCCCCTGTCTCCCTCTGTCTCCCCTTGTCTCCCCCTGTCTCCCCCTGTCTCCCTCTGTCTCCCCCTGTCTCCCTCTGTCTCCCCCTGTCTCACTCTGGCTCACTCTGTCTCCCTCTGTCTCACTCTGTCTCACTCTGTCTCCCCCTGTTTCACTCTGTCTCCCGCTGTCTCCCTCTGTCTCCCTCTGTCTCCCCCTGTCTCACTCTGTCTCACTCTGTCTCCCTCTGTCTCCCTCTGTCTCGCCCTGTCTCCCCCTGTCTCACTCTGTCTCCCCCTGTCTCCCCCTGTCTCACTCTGTCTCCCGCTGTCTCCCTCTGTCTCCCTCTGTCTCACTCTGTCTCCCCCTGTCTCCCTCTGTCTCCCTCTGTCTCCCTCTGTCTCACTCTGTCTCCCCCTGTCTCCCTCTGTCTCACTCTGTCTCCCGCTGTCTCCCTCTGTCTCCCTCTGTCTCACTCTGTCTCCCCCTGTCTCCCTCTGTCTCCCTCTGTCTCCCTCTGTCTCACTCTGTCTCCCCCTGTCTCCCTCTGTCTCACTCTGTCTCCCTCTGTCTCCCTCTGTCTCCCGCTCCGCAGATCGAGAACCTGCAGGAGCAGCTGCGTGACAAGGAGAAGCAGATAAGCAGCCTGCGTGAGCGGGTCAAGTCGCTGCAGGCCGACTCGAGCAACGCGGACACGGCGCTCGCCACACTCGAGGAGGCGCTCTCAGACAAGGCGACCACCCCCCCCCCCCCTCCTCATTGTTGTTGTTGCTATCATTGTTGTTGTTGTTGCTATCATTGTTGTTGCGGTGGTGGTGCAGTGGTTAGCGAACACGGCGATCCAAGTTCCATTCCCACTCACACCTAACATTACCTAAACGGGTCCTGGACCTCGCCTAGGTGTACGTGTTGTGTACATTGTGTGTGTTGTGAACATTGTGTGTGTACATTGTGTGTGTACATTGTGTGTACATTGTGTGTGTACATTGTGTGTACATTGTGTGTACATTGTGTGTGTGTGCATTGTGTGTGTGTACATTGTGTGTGTACATTGTGTGTGTACATTGTGTGTGCGTGTGCATTGTGTGTGTGTACATTGTGTGTGTGTGTAAATTGTGTGTGTGTACATTATGTGTGTGTACATTGTGTGTGTACATTGTGTGTACATTGTGTGTGTACATTGTGTGTGTGTACATTGTGTGTTGTAAACATTGTGTGTGTACATTGTGTGTGTGTACATTGTGTGTACATTGTGTGTGTACATTGTGTGTACATTGTGTGTACATTGTGTGTGTACATTGTGTGTGTGTGCATTGTGTGTGTGTACATTGTGTGTGTACATTGTGTGTGTGTGTACATTGTGTGTGTACATTGTGTGTGTGTGTACATTGTGTGTGTGTCGTGTTTGCGTTGCAGGAGCGCATCATTGACCGCATGAAGCAGCAGCGCGAGCAGGAGGATCGCGATAAGCACGAGGAGGCGGAGGCTCACAGGCGCGAGAGCAAGGGGCTCAAAGAGAGAGTGAACACTCTCCTGGCAGAGCTCACCGACAAGGAGGTGAGAACCACCACCACCAGCAGCAGCATCATCATACTCAGCAGCAGCAGCACAACTATCCTTATCAGCAGCAGCAGCATCATCACAACCATCCTTATCAGCAGCAGCATCACTATCATCATCACAACTATCCTTATCAGCAGCAGCAGCATCTACACAACCATCGTTATCAGCAGTAGCATCACTATCATCATCACAACTATCCTTATCAGCAGCAGCAGCATCTACACAACCATCGTTATCAGCAGCAGCATCACTATCATCATCACAACTATCCTTATCATCAGCAGCATCATCACAACCATCGTTATCAGCAGCAGCATCACTATCATCATCACAACTATCCTTATCAGCAGCAGCAGCAGCAGCATCTACACAACCATCCTTATCAGCAGCAGCATCACTATCACCACAACCATCGTTATCAGCAGCAGCAGCATCATCACAACCATCGTTATCAGCAGCAGCAGCATCATCATCACAACTATCCTTATCAGCAGCAGCAGCATCATCACAACCATCGTTATCAGCAGCAGCAGCATCATCATCACAACCGTCGTCATCAGCACCACATCGCTGTGTCTCCATCATCACCCCGTGCCGCCCCTTGTCCCCGCGCCACCGTGCACAGTCACGACGGCAATTGTCGAGGTCGCCCCGCCCCCACCCCCCACTGCCCCCCACGCCCACAGTGGGGGGCAGTGGGGGGTGAAATCTCGTGGCGGAGAACCCGAGGCCTCTGTAGATACCGTGACCTCTGTAGTGACCGTGACCTCTGTAGTGACCGTGACCTCTGTAGTGACCGAGACCTCTGCAGTGACCGTGACCTCTGTAGTGACCGTGACCTCTGTAGTGACCGAGACCTCTGTAGTGACCGTGACCTCTGTAGGTACCGAGACCTCTGTAGTGACCGTGACCTCTGTAGGTACCGAGACCTCTGTAGTGACCGTGACCTCTGTAGGTACCGAGACCTCTGTAGTGACCGTGACCTCTGTAGTGACCGTGACCTCTATAGGTACCGTGACCTCTGTAGTGACCGAGACCTCTGTAGTGACCGTGACCTCTGTAGTGACCGAGACCCCTGTAGTGACCGAGACCTCTGTAGTGACCGTGACCTCTGTAGTGACCGAGACCTCTGTAGTGACCGTGACCTCTGTAGTGACCGAGACCTCTGTAGTGACCGTGACCTCTGTAGTGACCGAGACCTCTGTAGTGACCGTGACCTCTGTAGGTACCGAGACCTCTGTAGGTACCGAGATCTCTGTAATGACCGTGACCTCTGTAGTGACCGAGACCTCTGTAGTGACCGTGACCCCTGTAGTGACCGTGACCTCTGTAGTGACCGTGACCTCTGTAGGTACCGAGACCTCTGTAGGTACCGAGACCTCTGTAGTGACCGTGACCTCTGTAGTGACCGAGACCTCTGTAGGTACCGAGACCTCTGTAGTGACCGTGACCTCTGTAGTGACCGAGACCTCTGTAGTGACCGTGACCTCTGTAGGTACCGTGACCTCTGTAGGTACCGAGACCTCTGTAGTGACCGTGACCTCTGCAGTGACTCGCTTCATGGTCGTACATGGCCACGGCCAGAGTAACGGCGAGTGTTGCTATCATGCTTGACCCACGGTCAATGAGGGGAGAAGGGGATGGATCGATGTGGAGGAACGAGGGGAGGGGCTCATCCCCCCTCCCCCCACCTTGAGCAGGAGGGGGATCAGGGAGGCGTTGTTTGTGTTGAGCACACGGGAATCAGGGAGGCGTTGTTTGTGTTGACCACACGGGGATCAGGGAGGCGTTGTTTGTGTTGACCACACGGGGATCAGGGAGGCGTTGTTTGTGTTGAGCACACGGGGATCAGGAAGTCGTTGTTTGTGTTGACCACACGGGGATCAGGAAGTCGTTGTTTGTGTTGACCACACGGGAATCAGGGAGGCGTTGTTTGTGTTCGAGAGTCTCTGGTCAGGGTCAACTCCAAGTCGCGTCTCTGGAGGTGGGTGCGGCGTGGCTGTAGTGTGGGTCACGGTGGTTGTGGTGTGGGTCACGGTGGTTGTGGTAGGGGTCACGGTGGTTGTGGTAGGGGTCACGCTCGTTGTGGTAGGGGTCACGGTGGTTGTGGTGTGGGTCACGGTGGTTGTGGTAGGGGTCACGGTGGTTGTGGTAGGGGTCACGGTGGTTGTGGTAGGGGTCACGGTGGTTGTGGTAGGGGTCACGGTGGTTGAGGTAGGGGTCACGGTGGTTGTGGTAGGGGTCACGGTCGTTGTGGTAGGGGTCACGGTGGTTGTGGTAGGGGTCACGGTCGTTGCGGTAGGGGTCACGGTGGTTGCGGTAGGGGTCACGGTCGTTGTGGTAGGGGTCACGGTGGTTGTGGTAGGGGTCACGGTGGTTGTGGTAGGGGTCACGGTGGGTGTGGTAGGGGTCACGGTGGTTGTGGTAGGGGTCACGGTGGTTGTGGTAGGGGTCACGGTGGTTGTGGTAGGGGTCACGGTCGTTGCGGTAGGGGTCACGGTGGTTGTGGTAGGGGTCACGGTCGTTGCGGTAGGGGTCACGGTGGTTGTGGTAGGGGTCACGGTCGTTGTGGTAGGGGTCACGGTGGTTGTGGTAGGGGTCACGGTGGTTGTGGTAGGGGTCACGGTGGTTGTGGTAGGGGTCACGGTGGTTGTGGTAGGGGTCACGGTGGTTGTGGTAGGGGTCACGGTCGTTGTGGTAGGGGTCACGGTGGTTGTGGTAGGGGTCACGGTCGTTGCGGTAGGGGTCACGGTGGTTGTGGTAGGGGTCACGGTGGTTGTGGTAGGGGTCACGGTGGTTGTGGTAGGGGTCAAGGTGGTTGTGGTAGGGGTCACGGTGGTTGTGGTAGAGGTCACGGTGGTTGTGGTAGGGGTCACGGTGGTTGTGGTAGGGGTCACGGTCGTTGTGGTAGGGGTCACGGTGGTTGTGGTAGGGGTCACGGTGGTTGTGGTTGTGGCTGGGTGTTGACAGTGACCGGCCCCACTCCCCGAGGCTTGAAAGGGAGATGTTGCCCCAAGCCTAGCCCGAGCAGCAACATAAACCCGGTTCTATCGCGAACCCACAACACTAATACCGAACTCTACCCCTGAACCTATCCCGACACTGAACCTCAACACCAACTCAACCCTCAACATGAGTCCGGACCCAAACACAAACCCCTACCCGGACCTAAACCCAATCCCAAACAGCCTAATCCTAACCCCAAACAATATCCCCAACACTGATCATACTCCCGACAGTACCCCAACGGTAACCCCTACCCCTAACCTGGACCCCGTCACCCTTACCCCGCCCCTTGACCCCTCAAGCCCCGACCTGACCCCTAACTCCTCTCCCCTCACCTATCCCACCCTCACCACTCACCCCCGACCCTCGCCCCCATACTCACCCCGTCATCCCTCCCCACCCCTCCACACCCCCTCGCCCCCCCCCCCCCGGGCCGCAGTGCGCCCTGCAGGAGCTGAAGCAGTACTCGGCGGCGCTCGCCTCCGTGGGGATGAAGAAGGAGGCGCGGCTGAAGGCGCTCGAGGCCGGCCTCGAGGGGCGCCGGGAAGACCTCAGCCGCGTGGAGGCGGCGCTCAAGAAGGTGCCCCGCCCCCCGCGACCCCCCCCCCCATCCACCCACACCCCCGTGACCCCCTCCCCACCCGCCCCGCCCCGCCCCTCCGTGACCCCCATCAACCCCCGTGACCCCCTTCTTACAACCCCACCCTCCGTGACCTCCCCATCCACCCACATCCCCGTGACCCCCTATCCACCAGCCCCGCCCCTCCGTAACCCTCCTCCACCCGCCCCGCCCCTCTGTGACCCCCCCCTTTACCTACCCCGCCGCTCCATCCCCCATGACCCCCCTCCTCCCACCCCGTCCCCCGGGACCCCTCCCTGGAACACCCACGAGTTCGTGATGGTGTTTCTGATGGTATGTGATGTGTATGTGATGGTGTATGTGATGGTGTATGTGATGGTGTGATGGTGTGATGGTATGTGATGGTGTATGTGATGGTGTATGTGATGGTATGTGATGGTGTGCTCCCTATTGCTCAACCACGTTATGTATGCCGATGATTTGGTAATAGCTGCTCATTCAGAGGAGGAGTTGGAGACGCTGCTGCTGAGACTGGAGCGTGCCACTAAGAGATGGGGCCTTACCATCAGCCCCACCAAAACTAAGCACCTGCCTGGGTATTTTGTACCATCGGACACTCCACCCCCACAACTCCCAATCGGTGATGGGGCAGTTGTGGAGAGAGTGGAGAGTTTCCCATACCTGGGCAGTGTGCTTATGACCGGCTCCAGTTTAACAGCAGAGGTCTCACTCTGAATCAGTCGAGCGGCAATATCTTTTCATCGGTTGCGTAACGCTGTGTGGAAGCTACCTGGTCTGTCGCTCCACACTAAGCTTCAGGTCTTCTCGGCCACGGTCATTCCCTCCCTTCTCTACTCTTGCGAAACGTGGACCCCCCTAATGGAACATCTTTGCCGGTTAGAAACATTTAGGTTAGCCTGCCTACGATCCATCCTGGGTTTAACCAGGCTGGATTGTGTGAGGAGCTCACAAATCTTTGAAAAATCTGGGCAAGGTCCCATCGGTGAGCTCCTCCGGCAAGCAAAGCTGCGTTGGCTGGGTCATGTAGCCCGCAGGCCCAGCCACCGCATGCCGAAACAGCTTTTGTTCGGCCGGATCGAGGGGGCTAAACGGGCGCGGCACGGGCTAGAGAAGGGATGGAGTGATGTGGTACAGGAGGACGTGGAGCTGAGTGGACTTGCCGATGACTGGTACCAGCGGTGTCAAGATCGGCCTCTGTGGAGGAGGCTCATGAAGGACGCTACTGGGCAGTTGTAGGTAGTCGCCCTCCAACAACAACGGAGGGCGGAGGAGCGACGCTCACAACAACGAGCGGAGCGCCGGGTGGCTAAAGCACAGCAGGTTGGCACAGTAGGGGGCACAGGTGGTGCATCAGCCAGTCATCTTAGTCAGTCGACCCGTGGCACTTGGGTCTGCCCCGTGACCTCCTGCCCGCGGGTGTTCGACACTTCACGTGGCCTCAAGGTGCACATGGCCTGGCACAAGCGTCGTGGTGACGTCACCGCCACTTAGTGGCGAATGGCGGTTGTTGTTGTTACGTGATGGTGTATGTGATGGTATGTGATGGTATGTGATGATGTATGTGATGGTATGTGATGGTGTATGTGATGGTGTTTGTGATGGTGTATGTGATGATGTATGTGATGGTGTATGTGATGGTGTTTGTGATGATGTATGTGATGGTGTTTGTGATGGTGCATGTGATGGTGTATGTGATGGTGTTCGTGATGGTGTATGTGATGGTGTACGTGATGGTGTATGTGATGGTATGTGATGGTGTATGTGATGGTGTATGTGATGGTGTATGTGATGGTATGTGATGGTGTATGTGATGGTGTATGTGATGGTATGTGATGGTGTATGTGATGGTATGTGATGGTGCTTGTGATGGTATGTGATGGTATGTGATGGTGTAGGTGATGGTGTATGTGATGATGTATGTGATGGTGTTTGTGATGGTATATGATGATGTATGTGATGGTGTTTGTGATGGTGTATGTGATGGTGTTTGTGATGGTGTATGTGATGGTGTATGTGATAGTGTATGTGGTGGTGTATGTGATGGTATATGATGATGTATGTGATAGTGTTTGTGATGGTGTATGTGAGGGTGTATGTGGTGGTGTATGTGATGGTGTATGTGATGGCATCTGATGGTATGTGATGGTGTATGTGATGGTATGTGATGGTGTATGTGATGGTGTATGTTCGTAGTGGGATGTGTGGGGTGTGTGTGATGGTCTGACCATTATCTGAACCGATCCTGGACCTCCCTTAGGTTGACGCAGCCTCAAATGAGTACCTGGTGCGATGTGTAAATATCAGTAGGTGCTCGCTAACGGCACTTGCCTCAAACACCTGTTGAGGCTATACAGGGAACCTTTGTCTTTGTGTGATGCCGCGTGTGTGATGCCACGTGTGTGGTGTGATTCCACGTGTGTGATGCCGTGTGTGTGATGCCGCGTGCGTGATGTGATGCCACGTGTGTGGTGCCGCGCGTGTGATGTGATGCCACGTGTGTGATGCCACGTGCGTGATGCCGCGTGTGTTATGTGATGCCACGTGTGTGATGCCATGTGTGTGATGCCACGTGTGTGATGTGATGCCACGTGTGTGATGGTACGTGTGTTATGCAGCGTGTGTGATGTGATTCCACGTGTGCGATGCCGTGTGTGTGATGCCACGTGTGTGATGGTACGTGTGTTATGCAGCGTGTGTGATGTGATGCCACGTGTGTGATGTGATGCCACGTGTGTGATGTGATGCCACGTGTGTGATGCCGCGTGCCCGATCCAACCGGACACCCTGCGACGTTTCGCGACTGGATGTCTCCCACTCACGACGGTGACGGCGATGTGATGGAGGCGGGGGGGGGGGGGGTGGCGGAGGTGGGGGGCCCGGAGGGGGTTTTTGTGCTCCGGCGGCCCCCCGAACGATCCCCGCTGAGTCCAGCTCATGGCTCGGGGCGCTGCGTTTGAACTCGACGTGAAACGGGGGACGCGACCCGGCCTCACCCCGGCGGTAATTGGGGGGAGGCGGTGGGGGGGGGGTCCACCATGTGCGAGTGATTTCTCCGCAGCAGCCGCCGCCACCGCCGCCACCGCCGCGCGGTTCGCGAATATTCTTCACCATTACCGGGACCCTCGCCTCCCTAATGAAGGCAGCCGCTCTGTGTGCTTCACGTTTTTTGGTTCATGTCGCTCCACGGCTGTTTGTGAAATCACAGCCCCCACCGCACACCCCCCGCGACCGCGCCCCCTCCCTCTCACCCCTCCCTCCAGCCCACGTACAACACGGGGGGAGGGGGTTGCTAAATCATAACTCCGGCCTTAGAAGAGAGGAATTTATTTTTCTAATATCACCAAACCCAGGAGAATGATGAACGCCTTCTCGGGCACGGCCACCTGCCTCATGTGAATCACGCGCGGCCCACGCGGGCAGACTTCAAACGCGGTGCCCGAGGGTACCGGGGGAGGGTGAAGAAGAGGCACAGGTGCGTGCCAGGCGACCCACGTGGGGGGTAACGGGGGGTGAGGGGGGTGGGCAGTGAGATGTAAGGACGGAGGACGAAGAGGAGCAAGTCTCAGCAAGTATAGTGGTGTTATTGATGTTGTTATTATCGTCATCATGGACCCTTTCTAGCCGTGTATGAAAGCGTTGGGCCCAACGTGGCGTGTCCCGTTTCATCCCTGCACCCTGCCTCGACCTCGCGACGCAGCGATCCGCCCGGCCTCTGCACGCGAGCCGATTCCATCGCCCCATCTCCCGCCACGCCACCTGCTCCTCCTGCTCCCCAGCGAGTTCCTCCATGGCCTGGCTGCGACTGTCATCATTAGTCTTGACGACCGGTCGTCAAATCGCTCTTCCGTGTAGCCTGCGTTCGATCCCTGATCCACGCGCTCGCCTCTCTGTTTCACGCGCCCGTCGTGGGCTGTTCAGTGGAGTGTCACTGGCGCCCGGGCAGCAGGGACGGTGTCCGGTAGTCAAAACCTCGGCCAAGTGAACGGAAGAACGCGTTGGGGAGGACACGGCCTAGGAGCATTCGACTCACCCACTCCGTGTGCCGTGAAGAAGGGCCATTGCCCGAAACGCCGCTCATTCAGGCCCACTGTCGCTGACGAATGTGTAGGCATCACAAAGAGAATTACTTTAATCCTTAAAGCTCAGTGTCTCCGACTCGGCCATTATACCCCTCTACCCACCCACCCACCATCTCTCCTCCCACCACCGCCGCCGCCCCGCCAAAGCCACCGAGCCACATCCCAAGGCTTCTCCTCGCTCCCCGTGGGGCCCCCCCGCCTCGTCACGCGCACAGAACGCGGTCCCCTCTGATGCGAGATCCTGGAGGGAGGGAGAGGGAGGGGTGCAGGGATGGAGGCAATTAGCCCCCCCACCCCCCCAATCCTCTGTGGCTCCACGCTTTGGCAATTAGCGCTGGCCTGCTCGTTAGAGATAACGAGGGCCTGTCGGGAGCTCGCGGGGTTAATGAGCACGAGGAGAGATGGAGGGGGGTGAGTTTAGAGGGAACCTCGAGGCGCCGAGTTGAAGGTGGGGATCCGGGACCCCCAGTTCCGGTGGATCCGTGTTAAATGACAAACCGTGTCCCTTTAAGACGTCTCGAGTCCACCACCCATGATGGACAGAGGCGCTGTGCAAATGTGTGCGGGGAGCGGTAGTGTGGTGGTTAGTTCACTGCGCAACGAACTTGACCCCCCCCCCCCCAACCCAAGTTCGATTCCTGACCACGGCTAATATTTGAACCGGTCCACAACCGGCCCTTGGCCTTAAATGAGCATTGCGGCCTTAACAGATGTGTGCTGAGTGAGTGTGCAATGCTCTGTGAATGAATGAGTCAATGAATGATTGTGCGGGGCGCTGAGTGAATAAATAATTGTGCTGGGCACTGAACAAGCGAATGAGCGAACGAGTGAGCAATTGTGCTGGGCGTTGCTGCTGCTGCTGCGCAGGGCGGCGAGGAGGCCTCCCTGCCGGAGCAAGCCGAGCGGCTGCGCCAGCTCGAGTCTGAGCAGCAGCAGCAGAGGGCCGGCGCGATGCACGCGGCCGCCGAGACGCAGCGCCTCCTCGACACGCTGGGCCGCGTGGAGGCGGAGGAGCGTGACAAGGACGCGAGGATAGCGGAGCTCGAGAGGTAATCACGGGGGTGGTGGTGGTGGTGATGTGGTGGTGGTGATAGGGGTTGTGGTGGTGGTGATGGGGGTGGTGGTGGTGGTGATGGGGGTGGTGGTGATGTGGTGGTGATGGGGGTTGTGGTGGTGGTGATATGGGGGTGGTGGTGATGGTGGTGATGTGGTGGTGGTGATAGGGGTTGTGGTGGTGGTGATGGGGGTGGTGGTGATGTGGTGGTGATGGGGGTGGTGGTGATGTGGTGGTGGTGATGGGGGTTGTGGTGGTGATGGGGGTGGTGGTGATGTGGTGGTGATGGGGGTGGTGGTGATGTGGTGGTGATGGGGGTGGTGGTGATGTGGTGGTGATGGGGGTTGTGGTGGTTGTGATATGGGGGTGGTGGTGATGTGGTGGTGATGGGGGTGGTGGTGATGTGGTGGTGATGGGGGTGGTGGTGATGTGGTGGTGATGGGGGTTGTGGTGGTGGTGATGGGGGTGGTGGTGATGTGGTGGTGATGGGGGTGGTGGTGGTGGTGATGGGGGTTGTGGTGGTGATGGGGGTGGTGGTGGGGGTGGTGGTGGTGGTGGTGGTGATGGGGGTTTTGGTGGTGATGGGGGGGTGGTGATTGTGGTGGTGGTGATGTGGTGGTGGTGATGTGGTGGTGATGGGGGTGGTGGTGGTGGGGGTTGTGGTGGTGATGGAGGGGTGGTGATTGTGGTGGTGGTGGTGATGGTAGTGATGGGGGTGGTGATGGGGGTGGTGGTGATGTGGGGAGAGGGGGGCGAGGGAGTGGGGGGAGATATACGATTGTGTCTCAATGTGTATCGCTAGCAGCCAGCACGTCCTTTGAAGGTGGCCGTCTGTCGATCCCTCCCGGCTGCCAGAGAGCCGGTGACGTTCTCACGTAGAGTGTCGTCGTCGTCATCGTTATTATCATTCCCCTTGTTTGCCTCCAAAAAAGCGTCACTGACTCTCAAGACTCCTTTGTTCAGGAGGGTCCTGCCAAGTGTTCGCAGTAGTAGGGGGGCGATGCTGCTGTCCATGCTCCTGCTGCTCCTGCTGCTGCTCCTGCCGTCCATGCTGCTGCTCCTGCTCCTGCTGCTCCTGCTGCCCATGCTGCTGCTGTTCCTGCTGCCCATGCTGCTGCTGCTCCTGCTGCCCATGCTACTGCTGCTGTGTGTGATTCCGTTCGAGTGATTTTTGCGGTGTAATTTTTCCATAATTGGAACGTGACGCTGGCACAGAGCGGCCTACCGCTGCGAGTGACGTCACGGGATCTTTAACGTCCACTGGGAGTCAAGCGCGTAGCCGCAGTTTTCGCGGTTAATGCGCACACCGCAGTATTAACCAGGGGCGGACGCTGGAATCGAACCGCGAATCTGGGGAGCGAGCCGTGAGCGCGCTACCGCTGGGCCAAGTCACCGCACGGGAGCGGTGCGAAGGGGGGTCAGAGATGCGAGAGTTACGGGAGGAGGTGGGAGGAGGTGGGAGGAGGTGGGAGGAGGTGGGGAGCGGTGGCACGACGAGTGAAGTTGTGAGTTCTGGACTGGCTCCGGGTTTCTATCCGAGTCCTTCACAGCGATCCACGGGGACGCGCCCGCACTGGGATCGCGATGTCACGGGGGTCATGCTGTGGGGGTCATGTCACGGAGCGGGGAGGGGGAGGCGCGGGGGTGGGGGGTCATGTTATCGGAGCGATGTCACGGGGAGGGGGTGATGTCACAGAGGGGTTGTCACGTGCGTCATCACATAGCGGAGTGACCAGAGCTTAGGTTCCGTGACTGCTTTCAGTTTGTCGCATCGTAGCGTCGTGATCTATCCAGCAGTGGATAGATCATGACAGCTAGTGATGACGATGACGTCGAACAGGGGGCTCCGATGCAGGGTGAAGGTGTGGGTGGGAGCCGGGAGGGAGCCGGAATGTACAATAAAGAAAGAATTTGACCTTCATTTGGGTGGAATTTTGCGAGTGGCACTTCCCATTACCCTTACCCAGAGCAGCTGCCTATCGGAGTCTTAGTGGAGGGGTCGGGGGGGGGGCCCGGGGTGAGGGGTCCAGACTTGAGTCGATTGTCAATTAGCGGTGTCTCAGTTTAAATTAATTAGCCGAATCTCATTTAATGAGCCGAGTCTCTCCGAGCGTTACTTTGAGATTTAGCACGAACCTCACAATTTCACGTCACGCACTCAATCGCTTAGCCCAGTGGTGGTGGAGGTGGTGACGGTGGTGGTGGCGGTGGTGGCGGTGATGGTGGTGATGGTGGCCACGCTGCACGTGGCTGTCTGTGACCCAGCGCTGTGGAGGCAGCAGTGAGGGTTGGTGCATCACCGCACGAATATTGCAAAACTCCCTTCCCGTGGGCCTCGAGGAGGTGCAATAACCTGACTCGCCAGGAGAAGGCGGTACAGCAAAGTGTGGATTAATCTCCATCTGTTTCCATCTGTACGGGGATAGAGCGTTGCCCTCTCGCGCGTGGCGTGGGGTTTCTCCAGGTGCTCCGGTTCCCTCCCACGTGGTATAATAATAATAATAAACACATTCATCACTAATCGGCTGAACACTTCTTCAAATAGAAACTCCAAAGCAGCAGTAGGACCCTGCTGAAAACGACTGCGACGACGCAGTGCGGCTCTCCTGGATAAACGAAGTGAATTGTGATTATGAGATCGATTCAGTGGTGATTGTTAACCGGATAACGTTGCTCTGCGCTTTGAAACCAAACCCGCCATACGCGTCTGCACGTATCTCTGCTCTCTCCGTCCTTGCCCGACGCGCCGCGGACAGTCTCTCTCCCAGGTCAGTGCACACCCTCGGGGTCACCCCTCACCCTCTCGGCCACCCTCTCCCATCCCTCCATCTAACCCCCCCCCCCCACCCCTATCCCCCGTGCACCCCCTCCTCCCTTCCCCTCCATCCCCTTGCCCAGTATCCCCCAATCTGGTTCCTTCCCAGGGGCCACTTTCTATCGAGCGCCCCCCCCCCAACCAACAATGAGCAGTGCCCCCCACCTCACCGGCCCCAGCCTGTCCCATTTCTCCTCTCTCCAGTCTCCTCTCCCCTCTCTTTCTTCTCTCCCCCCTCTCTCCCACCATCTCCTCCCTCCTCTCACCGCTCCCTTCTCCTCCCCCTCTCTCCCCATCTCTCTCTCCTCTTCTCTCCTCCCTCTCTAGCTCCTCTCCCATCTCCATCTCTCCCCCCGCCTTTCTCTCTGCCAACCCCTTGGCCCGGAGCGCGAGTGGGGTTTGATTTTATGAGCGGCCGCTCCTACCCACATCTCGCTCTCAAAATTGCAGGAAACAATTACGGGCGCAGCAGAGAGCAGGGAGCAGGGAGCAGGAGCAGGAGGAGAGGGAGGGGGTGACAGGAGAAGTCAGAGGAGAGCGGACCCCTCCCCCCGCCCCTCCCCCACAACCCCTCACCACCCCCCCCCTCTCCACGGTGCCATCGCTACCATCAACAGCAACATCAACAAGTTCACAAGCACCACCACCACCACGATCAAGATCAACCTCGCCACTATCGTCATCAACTTCAACCTCCACCACAGTCACCAAACACGAGCCACTACCACCACCAACATCAGAACCACTACCACCACCACAGGATACACCCTAACCACATACACTCAGCACACCACACTCACTGCATTAAAACTATTTTTCTATTTTACCAGATGAGGCCCACTGAGCTATATAGATCTTTTTAAGAAGCGACGTGCCCACAAATGATAGCTCAACGGCGTGGCTTATAACGTGGAAATTTATAGCAGCCAAATACTCTAAACGTGTGACGTTGATTCTAAATATGGAGGGGAAAACCGAAGGGCCAGAAGAAAAATCCACGCGACCACGGGCAGAGAGAGACACGGAAACTCCAAATACACAGCAGCAGAGGTCAGGGTCGGGATCGAACCCACGACTTCCTGTGTACCAGGCGAGGGAATGAACAGCGGCGCTCCACATTGACTTGCACTCACCACAGCACACCCACCACACAGCACACTCACCACACAGCACACCCACCACACAGCACATTCACCACACAGCACACCCACCACACAGCACGCTCACCACACAGCACACTCACCACACAGCACACTCACCACACAGCACACCCACCACACAGCACACTCACCACACAGCACACCCACCACACAGCACACCCACCACACAGCACACTCACCACACAGCACACCCACCACACAGCACACTCACCACACAGCACACCCACCACACAGCACACTCACCACACAGCACACCCACCACACAGCACACTCACCACACAACACACCCACCACAGCACACCCACCACACAGCACACCCACCACACAGCACACTCACCACACAGCACACTCACCACACAGCACACTCACCACACAGCACACCCACCACACAGCACACTCACCACACAGCACACTCACCACACAGCACACTCACCACACAGCACACCCACCACACAGCACACCCACCACACAGCACACTCACCACACAGCACACTCACCACACAGCACACTCACCACACAGCACACTCACCACACAGCACACTCACCACACAGCACACTCACCACACAGCACACTCACCACACAGCACACCCACCACACAGCACACTCACCACACAACACACTCGCCACACAGCACACTCACCACACAGCACACTCACCACACAGCACACCCACCACACAGCACACCCACCACACAGCACACCCACCACACAGCACACCCACCACACAGCACACCCACCACAGCACACTCACCACACAGCACTCACCACACAGCACACCCACCACACAGCACACTCACCACACAGCACACCCACCACACAGCACACTCACCACACAGCACACTCACCACACAGTACACTCACCACACAGCACACCCACCACACAGCACACCCACCACACAGCACACCCACGACACAGTACACTCACCACACAGCACACCCACCACACAGCACACCCACCACACAGCACACTCACCACACAGCACACTCACCACACAGCACACCCACCACACAGCACACTCACCACACAGCACACCCACCACACAGCACACCCACCACACAGCACACTCACCACACAGCACACCCACCACACAGCCCCCCCCCCCCCCCACACTCCCCGTGGTTGCCCTGGGGGGGCTCCGCGCCGCGGGCCGCCCGAGAGCCACTGCGGGGTAACGCGACCGCCACTCGGCCAGAATGCCGCGGCTGCTGCGGGGAAATGGAAGCAGCTGTGCGGTTAGAGGGGGGGGGGGGGGGGGGCAGGAGGAAGGAGGGGGGGAGAAGCCAAAGTGAATTGTTGGATTTAAATTCTCTGGAGCGAGTTCGCCTTTGTCATTTGTTTGACCCAGGTCACCTCTTGTGCGTACATACAAATACAAAGATCCTTCGTGAAGTCTTCACGTACTTTGGGGCAAGTGCTGTCAGCGAGCAGCATCTGTGAATGCCGACACGACGCACGAGGGAGCAGTGTGGCCGAGATCACTCCCGACCGCCTTTGTCTTCCCGGTGTCGATGTTTACTCCACGGCACGGGGTGTACATTTCAGGTTTCGTCGACGCAGCGGATTCCCACGACCGGTTCAAATATTCGCCACTGTATTACAGAAATTAATTAGTGGACATTCCTGAGCACAACGATGCCCAATCACGTGTGTATGTACGTTCAGGAGGATCCTGCAACAGCTGGGATGGTCGGTCAATTCCTCAGTACGTGTTTCATTATCACCACAGTTGTATCTCGCAGCCTCGGGGCAGCGTTGTGGGGGGGGGGGGGGAGGTTGGGAGCCACCAGGAGGCATTGACCCCTCCCCCTCTCCCCCCCCCGTTATCCCCCCCCCCACCTCGACTGCAATCTCCGATTGCAGGAACCTCACCGCCCAGCGGGGCTTGAAATTCAATTCCAGACTCACACAGACTTACACAGACTCTCACAGACCCTCACAGACTCTCACAGACTCACACAGACTCACACAGACTCACACAGACCCTCACAGACTCACACAGACCCTCACAGACTCTCACAGACTCACACAGACTCACACAGACTCACTTAGACTCTCACAGACTCACACAGACTCATACAGACTCATACAGACTCACACAGACCCTCACAGACTCACACAGACTCACACAGACTCACATAGACTCACACAGACCCTCACAGACTCACACAGACCCTCACAGACTCTCACAGACTCACACAGACTCACACAGACTCACTTAGACTCTCACAGACTCACACAGACTCATACAGACTCATACAGACTCACACAGACCCTCACAGACTCACACAGACTCACACAGACTCACATAGACTCACACAAACTCTCACAGACTCTCACAGACCCTCACAGACTCACACAGACTCACACAGACCCTCACAGACTCTCACAGACTCACACAGACTCACACAAACTCACACAGACCCTCACAGACTCTCACAGACTCTCACAGACTCACACAGACTCACACAGACTCTCACAGACTCTCACAGACTCACACAAACTCACATAGACCCTCACACAGACTCTCACAGACTCACACAGACTCACACAGACCCTCACAGACTCACACAGACTCACACAGACTCACACAGACCCTCACAGACTCACACAGACCCTCACAGACCCTCACAGACTCACACAGACTCACACAGACTCACTTAGACTCTCACAGACTCACACAGACTCATACAGACTCATACAGACTCACACAGACCCTCACAGACTCACACAGACTCACACATACTCACATAGACTCACACAGACTCTCACAGACTCTCACAGACCCTCACAGACTCACACAGACTCACACAGACCCTCACAGACTCTCACAGACTCACACAGACTCACACAAACTCACACAGACCCTCACAGACTCTCACAGACTCTCACAGACTCACACAGACTCACACAGACTCTCACAGACTCTCACAGACTCACACAAACTCACATAGACCCTCACACAGACTCTCACAGACTCACACAGACTCACACAAACCCTCATAGACTCACACAGACTCACACAGACACACACAGACTCACACAGACTCACACAGACTTACACAGACACACGCAGACTCACACAGACCCTCACAGACTCACACAGACTCACACAGGCTCACACAGACTCACACAGACTCACATAGACTCACACAGACTCTCACAGACTCTCACAGACCCTCACAGACTCACACAGACTCACACAGACCCTCACAGACTCTCACAGACTCACACAGACTCACACAAACTCACACAGACCCTCACAGACTCTCACAGACTCTCACAGACTCACACAGACTCACACAGACTCTCACAGACTCTCACAGACTCACACAAACTCACATAGACCCTCACACAGACTCTCACAGACTCACACAGACTCACACAAACCCTCATAGACTCACACAGACTCACACAGACACACACAGACTCACACAGACTCACACAGACTTACACAGACACACGCAGACTCACACAGACCCTCACAGACTCACACAGACTCACACAGGCTCACACAGACTCTCACAGACTCACACAGACTCACACAAACTCACACAGACTCTCACAGACTCACACAGACTCACACAGACCCTCACAGATCCACACAGACCCACGCAGACTCACGAAGACTCTCACAGACTCACGCAGACTCACGCAGACTCACACAGACTCACACAGACCCTCAAAGACCCTCACAGACTTACACAGACTCACAGAGACCTTCGCAGACTCACACACACCGCACGGGCAGATGCACCCAACTGCGCTCCCAACTGTGCCCGGCGCTCTGCTCGCTGTTGTGAGAGTCACGTGGTCGCACCATGTGCACACTTTGTGTGCCTGCAGGCTGTTGAAAGAGCAGAACAAGAAGAGCTCCAACCTGAAGCAAAGGGACCAAGTGGAGAAGCGACGAGGAGTGCAGGAGGACCCCAGGAGGAGAGAGAACGTTCCAGGCGAGAGCCCTCAGCTACTCCAGGTGAGACCACAACTGAGAAGGTGTCCACCAGGTGACCTCACTCATGGACACCACTCCTGAGAAGGTGTCCACCACGGGACCTCACTCATGGAGACCACTCCTGAGGTGTCCACCAGGTGACCTCACTCATGGACACCACACCTGAGGTGTCCACCAGGTGACCTCACTCATGGACACCACACCTGAGAAGGTGTCCACCAGGTGACCTCACTCATGGACACCACTCCTAAGAAGGTGTCCACCAGGTGACCTCACTCATGGACACCACACCTGAGGAGGTGTCCACCAGGTGACCTCACTCATGGACACCACACCTGAGAAGGTGTCCACCAGGTGACCTCACTCATGGACACCACTCCTGAGAAGGTGTCCACCAGGTGACCTCACTCATGGACACCACACCTGAGAAGGTGTCCACCAGGTGACCTCACTCATGGACACCACTCCTGAGAAGGTGTCCACCAGGTGACCTCACTCATTGAGACCACACTTGAGGTGTCCACCAGGTGACCTCACTCATTGAGACCACACCTGGGAAGGTGTCCACCAGGTGACCTCACTCATTGAGACCACACCTGAGAAGGTGTCCACCAGGTGGTTCAGTGTAGGTGATGGCGAAGTAGGTAATTATTTGGTGGTGGTGGTGATAATGATGGTGGTGGAGGTGATGGTGGTGGTGTAGGTGGTGATGGTACACGTGGTGGTAGTGTAGGTGGTGATGGTACACGTGGTGGTGGTGTAGGTAGTGATGGTACACGTGATGGTGGTGTAGGTGGTGATGGTACACGTGGTGGTGGTGTAGGTGGTGATGGTACACGTGGTGGTGTAGGTGGTGATGGTACACGTGGTAGTGTAGGTGGTGATGGTACACGTGGTGGTGTAGGTGGTGATGGTACACGTGGTGGTGTAGGTGGTGATGGTACACGTGGTGGTGTAGGTGGTGATGGTGCACGTGGTGGTGGTAGTGTAGGTGGTGATGGTACACGTGCTGGTGGTGATGGTACACGTGGTAGTGTAGGTGGTGATGGTACACGTGTTGATGGAGGATTTAGTATCCCCGTGATGGATGGGGTTGCGGGCGAGTGCGGTAATGGCGCTGGCTCTGTGTGGAGTGGCCTCATCCACTCGCTGATTCGAGGGGGGGGGGTCCCTTGATGAAAGCGGACTTAGATTCCCCGTGACAAGAGTGTGCACCTCCCCAACGCAATGGAATGACAATACAGACGCCCCCCCATCCACCCCAGAGCTGACCCCTTGCCCGCCCCCCACAGCCCCCCCAACTCCAACCACATTCATCCCCCACCCCCCGCGCCAGCACCCCCACCGTGTCTGACGGAGTAAATGAGTCCAGTATCTCAGCCTGCAACGAGGAGACATGGGGGCAGCCCGTGGTGCCGAGATTCAGAAAACGTGTTCGAGATGTTTACAAGGGGCTGGAGTAGCCTCGGGGCACGGCGCGTGCAGGGAAGGGCACGTGGAGGCTGCGGGGTGGGGGGGGGGGGGGTATGCCACGTGGCAGGGCATGGTCGCATTCGTTCGGGCATGGACATGCAGTGTCAATTTGTTGATGAAGGTCATCTTGAATATCATGATCGCGATAATTGTCGCTGTCATCATGATTACCCCAATTAATGGAATTAATGATTGCACAGCTGATATCATCTCGGTCACGATAAAACGTTGGGATCATCGTCACAACCACCATCAGAATAATGTCACTACACCACCACCATCTCCTCTGGATCACTATCTGCACCACCATCATCTCTGGATCACCATCATTACCATCATTGCCACCATCACCACCACCACCGTCACGATCATCACTTCCAAAGGCAAAGATCCCCCGTTTAGCCTGAACAGACGGTTGAGCCAAGTGCTGTTAGCGAGTAACACCTATGAAGGCCGACACGGCACATGGGGGGGATGGGTGGCCAGCACCACGCCGACCGCCTTTGTCTCCCTAGTGGCGTTGTTTACTACACACCGCACCAGGTACTCATTTGAGGCCGAGTCGACCTAGGGGAGGCACAGGACCGGTTCAGATAATCGTCACTCGTGTTGGTGGCCGTGTGCGGGAGTCCAATTCGGGTCGCCGGCATTCGTAGCATGGCGCGCTAACCGCTACACCACCGCTCCCCACCACCACCATCACCACCACCATCACCACCACCACAACCTCGACCGCCCCCCCCCCTAGGATGCACTGCGCCGCCGCGAGGAGCGAATCGAGGAGCTGGAGGAGGCTCTGCGCCAGAGCGCGAGCGCCACCTCCGAGCGGGACCTCGCACTCGCCCAGGAGGAAGCGGGGCGCAGCGCGGCTCACAAACAGGTAGGGGGGCGGGGCTGGGGGGAGGGGCTGAGAGAGGGGGGTAAGAGAGGGTCAAGGGGATGGGGGTCAATAGACGGGAGAAAGGTTTTGAAGGGAACGGGAGAGTTCAAGATGAAGATGTTGGAGGGTCGAGGGAAAGGGTATGGGTTTAAGGAACGGGGAGAGAGTTTTGGGGAGATGGGAGAGTTCAAGGGGAGGGGTCTAGAGGTCAAGGGGAGGGGTCGAGATGGAGGGTAGGGGTCACGCCAGAGAAAGGCCGTCAAGAGTGAGAGGCTGCGTGCCCGTGTGTTTGTGTGCGTGGATGTATCGGGAAGAGATGATCTCCCAAGCGAAATGCTGAGGGAGGGTGGCGTTTGTGCACAGACTGCCCTATATGACATCATAACAACAGTCTGGACCACTGGACAGGTTCCGCAGGATTGGAAGGATGCCCTGGTGGTCCCCCTCTTTAAGAAGGGGGACCGCACAGACTGTAACAACTACAGGGGCATCTCACGCCTCAGTGTGCCGGGAAAGGTCCTGGCAAGGATTATTCAACATCGCCTCGCCAGGCACGCTGAGGAGAGGCTTGCGGAGCCCCAATGCGGTTTCAGGAAAGGGCGGTCCTGCACAGATGCCATATTTTCTGTCCGTCTGCTACAGCAGAGGTGTAGGGAATTCCAACAAGACCTACATCTCTGCTTTATTGACCTGGTCAAGGCCTATGATACCATCAGTAGGCCTGGGCTCTGGGTTGTTCTTCGTGCTTTTGGAGTACCAGACCCTCTGCTCACGATCATTAGTGACCTTCATGATGGTGAGCGGGCCCGGGTAAAACTACATGGCCGGGAGTCAGAGCCATTCCCTGTACACCTTGGGGTGCGACAGGGATGTCTTCTGGCTCCCACCTTATTTAACATCTATTTTAGCCACGTAGTTCGTGAAGCCTTCAATAGCTGTACCGGGGGAATCTCCATATGGTACAGATATAATGGGAGGCTGATCGATGCCCGGGTGCGGTCAAGGGATGGCTCCCTATTGCTCAACCACGTTATGTATGCTGATGATTTGATAATAGCTGCTCATTCAGAGGAGTTGGAGACACTGCTGCTGAGACTGGAGCGTGCCACTAAGAGATGGGGCCTTACCATCAGCCCCACCAAAACTAAGCACCTGCCTGGGTATTTTGTACCATCGGACACTCCACCCCCAACTCCCAATCGGTGATGGGGCAGTTGTGGAGAGTGGAGAGTTTCTCATACCTGGGCAGTGTGCTTATGACCGGCTCCAGTTTAACAGCAGAGGTCTCACTCCGAATCAGTCGAGCGGCAATCTTTGAATCGGTTGCGTAACGCTATGTGGAAGCGACCTGGTCTGTCGCTCCCCACTAAGCTTCAGGTCTTCTCGGCCACGGTCATTCCCTCCCTTCTCTACGCTTGCGAAACGTGGACCCCCCTAATGGAACATCTTCGCCGGTTAGAAACATTTAGGCTAGCCTGCCTACGATCCATCCTGGGTTTAACCAGGCTGGATTGTGTGAGGAGCTCACAAATCCTTGAAAGATCTGGGCAATGTCCCATTGGTGAGCTCCTCCGGCAGGCAAGGCTGCGTTGGCTGGGTCATGTGGCCCGCATGTCCAGCCACCGCATGCCGAAACAGCTTTTGTTCGGCCGGATCGAGGGGGCTAAACGGGCGCGGCACGGGCTAGAGAAGAGATGGAGTGATGTGGTACAGGAGGACGTGGAGCTGAGTGGACTTGCCGATAACTGGTACCAGCGGTGTCAAGATCGGCCTCTGTGGAGGAGGCTCGTGAAGGACGCTACTGGGCAGATGGAGGCAGTCGCCCTCCAACAACAACGGAGGGCGGAGGAGCGACGCTCACAACAACGAGCGGAGCGCCGGGTGGCTAAAGCACAGCAGGTTGGCACAGTAGGGGGCACAGGTGGTGCATCAGCCAGTCATCTCAGTCAGTCGACCCGTGGCACCTGGGTCTGCCCCGTGACCTCCTGTCAGCGGGCGTTCGACACGTTACGTGGCCTCAAGGTGCACATGGCCTGGCACAAGCGTTGTGGTGACGTCACCGCCACTTGGTGACGTCACCGCCACTTAGTGGCGAATGGCGGTTGTTGTTGTAGATGTATCGAAGTTACGTGTATCCATCCATGTGTTATGTCTATACACCTCCAATTGGTACAGTTGGCTACGTACGGTGCGAAAGAACTTCAGCATACATGCGTACATGCATGCGTACAGGCACGTGTCTATGTATGGGGTGGTAGAGTAGCTGTTAGCGCTATGCTGCGCTACGAACCCGGCAACCTGAGTTAAATTCCCGCTCATGGCCAACACCAGTAAAGATAATCTCAACCATTCCTGGGCCTCCCCTAGGTCGACTCGGCCTCAAATTAGTACCTGGTGCCTGTTTAAACATTGCCACTCGGGACAACAAAGCCGGTCGGGTGTGTTTTTGGCTACCCTGCCTTAATCGGTGGTCGCTAACAGCACTTGCCCCAGAAACTCGCGTGCAGCTACCTGGGAGACCTTTGTCTTTGGTGAAAGAGTTGCACACCTGGGCGTGCGCGCGCAGCAGCTGTGCAGGTGCGGCCCGGCGCGGCCTCTTTGAGCGTGGAGTGGGAGCGAGTTTCGCCACCAAATCCTCAATTTCCATCCCTTCAATCAGCCCCCCCCCCTCCCTCCCTCCCCGCTTCCAACCTGAACCAACCCAGGTGCTTTCTCACTTCAGCGTAAACATCACGCAACCATTCACACCGTCAATTTAAATAACCAGACGATGCCCCTCCACGTCTCTCAACCTTCCACATCAAATAAAAACAAACGCGAACTTTTTTTCGCGTTTGTGTGTGTCACGCATCCCATCAGCGACACGGCCCTCTGGGAGTGCATCGTTTCAACGGGCATTGAACCCGTTTCGACATTCACTCAGCAGAGTTAACCTCGCGTGAAACCAACGCTGCAAGATGTTCATGGTCAATGTGCCCTCTGCCTGCGTTAGACCTGGGGGGCCCAAGTTCGACACGAACCCCTGTAACACACCGCACTGAACATTCACGAGCGCCGTCGTGGTGAAAAGTAGGTCACGCGAAACAGATTCACGGTAGATGCCTTCCCGAAGAGTGCGGCATTAAGTGAAAACAGTTTCCCCATAAATAAATGGTGCAGCGATAACGTTGGGCGACATACGCAGCGCTACGCGCGCACACGCAGTGAGATGGCGGGACAGAGAACTGAAGGTACCCCGCCCTGTTGCTGTATCATTCCGCTTAGCTCAAGAAAGTAGTTCGTCATTGACCCCTCAGAAACCGCGTCATAACGCTGCGTGTTGCACATTATAACGGTGCACGTTTCGCGTTATAACGGTGCACGTTTAGCCTTATAACGGTGCACGTTTCGCGTTATAACGGTGCACGTTTAGCGTTATAACGGGGCGTGTTCCGTTTTATAACAGTGCACGTTTAGGTGCACAATTAGCGTTATAACGGTGCACGTTTCGCGTTATAACGGTGCACGTTTCGCGTTATAACGGGGCGTGTTCCGCGTTATAACGGTGCACGTTTCGCGTTATAACGGTGCACGTTTCGCGTTATAACGGTGCACGTTTCGCGTTATAACGGTGCGTATTCCGCGCTTTACAACGGGCGCGTATCAGGTCCATCCTTGCCGAGTCCCGGCAAAGATGGAGGCAGAGTTGCCGCTCGCTCCGCTTGGTTTACTTTCGTTGTCGTCGTTGTTGTTGTTGTTTAATTTTGTTTATTTGCTGTTTTGCTTTCATTGTCGCGTGTTGTGGACAATCCTGAACCCGCGGGCGCCCCTCCCCGCCCCCACCCCCTCCCCCCCCCCCCCCCCCCCCTTTCCTCCAAACCACCCCAAACGCACGGGCAGAGGCGAGGCCCCCTGGGCCCCCCGCAGCGCAGCGGCTATGAGCCGACAGCGGCCCAGGTAGGGGTCACGAGGGCATGAGGGGGAATGTTGGGGTCATTCCCCAGCATGCAGGACACGCACAGGCACACACACACGTAGACACACACACACGTAGACACACACACGTAGACACACACGTAGACACACGTAGACACACACACGTAGACACACACACGTAGACACACACGTAGACACACACACACACGTAGACACACACACACGTAGACACACACACGTAGACACACACACGTAGACACACGTAGACACACACACGTAGACACACACACGTAGACACGCACACACACGTAGACACACACGTAGACACGCACACACACGTAGACACACACAGGTAGACACACGTAGACACACACGTAGACACACACACGTAGACACGCACACACACGTAGACACACACAGGTAGACACACACACGTAGACACACAGACGTAGACACACACACACGTAGACACACACACACGTAGAAACACATACACGTAGACACACACGTAGACACACGTAGACACACACACGTAGACACACACACGTAGACACGCACACACACGTAGACATACACAGGTAGACACACACACGTAGACACACAGACGTAGATACACACACACGTAGACACACACACACGTAGACACACACACGTAGACACCCACTCACACGTAGACACATACGTAGACACACACACGTAGATACACACGTAGACACACACACACGTAGACACACACACGTAGACACACACGTAGACACACACACACGTAGACACACACACGTAGACACACACACGTAGACACGCACACACACGTAGACACACAACAACAACAGCCGCCGTTCGTCACAAAGTGGCGGTGACGTCACCACGGCGCCTGTGCCAGGCCATGTGCACTTTGAGGCCACGTGAAGTGTCGAAGGCCTCGCTGACAGGAGGTCACGGGACAGACCCAGCAGGTGCCATGGGTTGACTGATTGAGATTACTGGTAGATGCGCCATCTGGACTCCCTACTGTGTCACCTCGCTGTGTGTTTAGCGCTCTGCTCGTTGTTGTGAGCGTTGCTCCTCTGCCCTCCGTTGTTACTGGAGGGCGACTGCATTCAACTTCCCAGTAGCAGCGTCCTTCACGAGCCTCCTCCATAGAGACTGATCTTGACACCGCTGGTACCAGTCATCGGCAAGTCTACTCAGCTCCACGTCCTCCTGTACCACATCACTCCATCTCGTCTCTAGCCCGTGCCGCGCCCGTTTAGCCCCCTCTACCCGGCCGAACAAAAGCTGTTTAGGCATGCGGTGGCTGGGCATGCGGGCTTCATGACCCAGCTAACGCAGCCTCGCCTGCTAGAGGAGCTCACTGATGGGACGGTGACCAGATCTTTCAAGGATCTGTGAGCTGCTCACACAAGTACACACGTGCACACACACGCACACATTCACAGGCACGCGCGCGCACAGACACACATGCATACACACACGTGTACAGACACACAAACGAACAGAAATGAACAGGCGAACATACACACACGTGTCTGTGTGCCTGTCGGATACACAAGTAGGCACACAGACACAGGGACAAGGACAAACAAGCATATGCAGGTGTCTACACACATACGCACATATACACACCCTCAACACACACCCCGTGAGCACGCTAATTCGTCTCGTGTCGGCAATTATCTCAGTAATTGCATTCACAACCAGCGGAGGCGTTGTGATGGGTGATTGACAGGGGGTGGAGCTGTAATGGGTGATTGACAGGGGGTGGAGCTGTAATGGGTGATTGACAGGGGGTGGAGTTGTGATGGGTGAGTGACAGGGGGTGGAGCTATGATAGGTGATTGACAGGGGTTGGAGCTGTAATGGGTGAGTGACAGGAGGTGGAGCTGTAATGGGTGAGTGACAGGGGGTGGAGCTATGATGGGTGATTGACAGGGGGTGGAGTTGTGATGGGTGAGTGACAGGGGGTGGAGCTATGATGGGTGATTGACAGGGGGTGGAGCGGTACTGGGTTATTGACAGAGGGTGGAGGTGTGATGGGTGAGTGACAGGGGGTGGAGGAGTGATGGGTGAGTGACAGGGGGTGGAGTTGGTTTCGCAGTGGCTGGCGCACTGCACTATAAACACGCCCACCTGAGTTCGGCTCCTGACCACGTTTGCACAAAAGTGCAAAGTGATATGTGAACCGGTTCTGCCCCCACCCCCGCCTCCACCCCCGCCTCCACCCCCGCCTCCACCCCCGCCTCCACCCCCGCCTCCACCAATCCGCAGTGACCAATGTGGCGAAGTATGGTCAAACAACCCCCACGAGCGACGTGAAGGGAATGGGGGTGGGGGGTGGCGCTTCCAGACCGGTTAACGTACGGTGCGAAAGAAGTTGAACAGACATACAACATACATTCAACATACGTACAAGGAATCACTCGCCACTGATGCTCTCCGTGGCCTGGAATCAAAACTGGGAAGGCGGGGTTCATCGCGCAGTGCGCTAACCACTGCGCCACCACTCCACGCCCCTGACAATGGCCGAGTTGTCCTGTCCCCCCCTCCTCTTCCCCGTGCTCGCCTCTGCCGTGCAGTGACTGCTGCCTGAGCATTCCCCACTCAGGGCTGTGTCAATGCACGCGACCCCCTTTGTCTTCCCCTCCCTGCGTACCGCGCGGGGTGGCAGCCGTGGCGTGACGTGCCGCTCGTGTGGTTGTGATTTTACTGGAGCGCGACTCGCGTCAATGTGACTCCACCACCATCATCACCATCAGCAGCATCAGCGGTAGCGGTGGTTTCATTCGAATCATCATCATCATCACGATCAGTGATCACAACCCGAGCGGGATTCGCGAATGATCTCGGAGTCTCCCTCGTCAGACTCACGGACGGAGCCCGGAGCTGACTCCCATGCACAGGGGGAGACTCCGTGACTTGTGTAGCGGAGATAAATAAATAAATAACGCCTCACTCCCGGTGCGCTTCAGAGTTCAATCCGAGAGTTGCTCCTCGCGCCGAGATCGCAATCGGCCGAAAATCTATCGCAAGGCGGCTCTCTCCGAGGCCAGAATTGTCCTGCCAAATAAAAGGCCGTTACCTCCTTACGCAGTGGCCCCGTTACTCCATGGGCACTTTACCCTTTGATCGCTTTACCCGATCACCCCGTTACTCCGTTACCAGGCAGGTGGGAAGAATGGATCGCTCCCCGACACGTGGCACCCCACGCGTAGAGGGACCCCTTGCACCCCCTTTAAACAAGGGGCCCCACGGTGGCTAGGAGATGTTAATTACTTCGCCTCGTATGCAGTTGGTCGTGGGTTCGATCCCGACCTTGACACCTGCTGTATATGTGAAGTTTGCGTGTCTCTCTCTCTCATCATCACGGTGGCTAGGAGATGTTAACTACCTCGCCCGGTATACAGGAGTTTGTGGGTTAGATCCTGACCCTAACGCCTGCTGTGTATTTGGAGTTTGCATGTATGTCTCTCTTTCCGTTGGTCGCATGGATTTTTCTCCGGGTCTTTCAGGTTTTTCCACCGCATTTAGAAACCGCGCGCGTTTCGAGTATTTTGCTGCTATAAATGTCCAAGTGATGATAAGCCACTGCGTTGAGCTATCATTTGTGATAGCCAGGTCGCTTCTGACAAAATAGCTATACAGCTCAGTGGGACTCACCTGGTTAAATACACACAATTTATTTGTAGTTTTAACAACCCCACGTAGACCCCTCTCAGCCCCCGTGTGTCGCCCCCCCCCCCCCACCCCACCCCTCTGGCCGTCACCGCGGAGCAGGTGGAGGAGCTGCAGGTGACGCTGGAGCGATGCCGCCACGAGCTGGAGGCGACGCGCTCGCGCCTCGGCGCCACGCAGCAGGCCCTGCGTGACCGCGAGACGCACCTGGCGAGCCTGCGGGCCGAGCGCAGGCGGCAGCTCGAGGAGGTTCTCGAGATGAAGTAAGGTGGCCGGCTTGGTGCGCGTCATCACCACCACCGCCATCACCACCACCACGACCACCAACATCAAAGAAAAATACAAAAATCACTCGCATATCCCAACAGACTGTCGGAGCAAGTGGTGTTAGCGATCACCTATGAAGGCCGGCACGGCACACGAGGGTGTGGGTGGCCATCACCACGCCCGGCCGCATTTGTCTCCCACCACCACCACCACAACTACCACTATACTACTACCGCCACCACCACTACCGCCACCACCACTACCGCCATCATCATGCCGAGGACACGGGAGATACGGTAGAACGTGGCGCTTGATGAATGTGGCGCTTGATGATCAATGATGATGTGATGAGCGCTTCCATGACGATGCTGCTGATGTCGACGGTTTTGTGATGATGAATGCCGCGACGATGATCATGATGTTATTGATAATCAAGGACGTTGAAAATGATGTTGGCCAATGCCGCGATGATGTTGACGATGGAGCCAAGGCGCGTGGCACAAGGAATGCATCTCAATGTTCCGCCAGCTCGTTCATCACCACCACCATCTTCATCACGGTCTGGAAGGCATTACTCATCTGGCAGCTTCGGCCACAACCGCACGGCGTGATGGGCGATGGCCCCGATATCGCGTGCGACGCCCGTGCTAGGGGGGTGGGGTTGGGTGGGTGGATAGGCGGGGGGGGGGCAGTGTCTCCTTTCCAGATCTCACACCCAGCGCTTACCCCGAGGGAGGAACCATGGGGGGGGGACGATTTAATACTGGGATGAGACTTCAAGATCGGACCCTCGGAGGTCTGATGTGGAAATCTGGCAGAAGGAAGGAAGCGATAACAAGATGTGAAAAATATGGTATTGCCCCCCCCCCCTCCACCGCCCCGCACCCCCCAGCGACCCCGGGGAGCTCACTCTGAATGGTTCAGATATCATTCGTCACTGCCGGTAATCGAAGCCGCGTTACTGAGTGCATAGCGCAATGTGCTAACCACTGACGGGCTGTGATGGTCTCTGATGGGCTGTGATGGTCACTGGTGGTCCCTGATGAGCTGTGATGGTCTCTGATAGTCTCTGATGGGCTGTGATGGTATCTGATAGTCTCTGATGAGCTGTGATGGTCTCTGATAGTCTCTGATGGGCTGTGATGGTCTCTGACGGTCTCTGATGGGCTTTGATGGTCACTGACGGTCTCTGATGGGCTGTGATGGTCTCTGACGGTCTCTGATGGGCTGTGATGGTCTCTGACGGTCTCTGATGGGCTTTGATGGTCACTGACGGTCTCTGATGGGCTGTGATGGTCTCTGACAGTCTCTGATGGGCTGTGATGGTCTCTGACGGTCTCTGACAGTCTCTGATGGGCTATGATGGTCTCTGGCGGTCTTTGATGGGTTGTGATGGTCTCTGATAGTCTCTGATGGGCTGTGATGGTCTCTGATAGTCTCTGATGGGCTGTGATGGTCTGTGGTAGTCTCTGATGGGCTGTGATAGTCTGTGATGGTCTCTGATGGGCTGTGATGGTCTGTGATGGTCTCTGATGGGCTGTGATGGTCTCTGACGGTCTCTGATGGGCTGTGATGGTCTCTGACAGTCTCTGATGGGCTGTGATGGTCTCTGATAGTCTCTGATGGGCTGTGATGGTCTCTGATAGTCTCTGATGGGCTGTGATGATCTCTGACAGTCTCTGATGGGCTGTGATGGTCACTGACGGTCTCTGATGGGCTGTGATGGTCTCTGACGGTCTCTGATGGGCTGTGATGGTCTCTGACGGTCTCTGATGGGCTGTGATGGTCTCTGACGGTCTCTGATGGGCTGTGATGGTCTCTGACGGTCTCTGATGGGCTGTGATGGTCTCTGACGGTCTCTGATGGGCTGTGATGGTCTCTGACGGTCTCTGATGGGCTGTGATGGTCTCTGACGGTCTCTGATGGGCTGTGATGGTCTCTGATAGTCTCTGATGGGCTGTGATGATCTCTGACAGTCTCTGATGGGCTGTGATGGTCACTGACGGTCTCTGATGGGCTGTGATGGTCTCTGACGGTCTCTGATGGGCTGTGATGGTCTCTGACGGTCTCTGATGGGCTGTGATGGTCTCTGACGGTCTCTGATGGGCTGTGATGGTCTCTGACGGTCTCTGATGGGCTGTGATGGTCTCTGACGGTCTCTGATGGGCTGTGATGGTCTCTGACGGTCTCTGATGGTCTGTAATGGTCTCTGACGGTCTCTGCCATTCTCTGATGGGCTTTGATGGTCTCTGAATTCCACCGATGGTCTCCGTGGCCCCCTGCTGGGGCGCTTGCTTCACGGGCCGTGATAAGTGAGCGCTCAGACGCCGCGCGCGTCTCTGTCACGGGGCGGCGAGGCCCCTGCCAGTCGCGATCTCAGTAAAGCGGCTCAAGCCTAATGCGATCTTAGGATGCTGGACGGACTCCCATTGTGCTGGACACCTTAACACGAAACACACTTTGCGCACAACACACAAGCACATACACACACATATATACACACGGACATACATACACACGTAGACATATATACACACACGAACATAATACACTTACGAACATACTTACACACATACACATATATACACATGGACATACATACAAAGGCAAAGCCAAAGATCCCCCGTATAGCCTTAATAGACTGTAGGGGCAAGTGCTGTTAACGGAGCATCTATAAAGGCTGGCACGGGACACGAGGGGGTGAGTGGCCAACAGCACGCCCGGCCGCCTTGTCTCCCCAGTGGCGATGTTTACACATTGCACCAGGTACTCATTTGAGGCTGAGTCGACCTAGGGGAGACCCATGCCTGCTTCATATGATCGTCACTGACGTTGGCCGTAAGCAGAAATCGAACTCTGGTTGGCAGTTTGGCTGCGCGGCGCGCTAACCACTGCAGTAGCACGCCCCACACAGCCACGCACAAGTTCACAGAGACGCATGAAGCAAAGATCCCCCGTATAGCCTTTAACAGACTGTTGGGGCAAGTGCTGTTAGCGAGTAGCTAACCAATGAAGGCCGGCACGGGCACAACGTCCGGTGGTTGGCCAGGACCACACCCGGCCGCCTTTGTCTCCCTCGTGGCGATGTTTACACACCGCACCAGGGATTCGTTTGAGGCCGAGCTGACCTATGCACACACAGTGACGCACTCACCCACTCACTCCGAGTCGCCGCACCTGTCGTCACGTGACCCGCGCGCCACTTCGCCTCGTCCCGGGGGTTCGGCCTCCGCTTCCCGGAGACTCCCACGGGACGCGAGGGGAAGGTGGGGAGGGGGGGGGGCTGAAGTTGGGGGGCGGGGGAAGGGAGGGGCGACGGGGGGGGCACCTCTCCACGTGACCTCGTGCCTCTCCGCATTGCCCACCATGGAGCACGCGGGGGTCACGAGTTCAGGGTTGGTTATTCCAACAGGAACATCCTTGGAGCGGAAACCTCAACACCCCCCCGCCCCTCTAGCCCCCTCCCTCCCCAGCCCCCACACCCGCCCCCCAGTGACACGAAGTTACGCGCTGCGCATCAGCAACTTCTCTCGAGAACAAAGGCGGCGTCGACGGTGGCGGCACTGGGCGCATGTAGCGCGCTTCTAAACAACACAAACACTGCCACAACACAAACACTGCCACAACACAAACACTGCCACAACACAAACACTGCCACAACACAAACACTGCCACAACACAAACACTGCCACAACACAAACACTGCCACAACACAAATACTGCCACAACACAAACGCCGCTGTCGCCAGCCCTTGCTCCAAATTTACAGCAGGCAGCCACGGCTCGGTTTGGTACTTTTTATTAAAACCGCCTCTGGTTCTTATTACGAGTCGGGGTGGGTGGTGGAGGTTTTGAGTTTTTGGAAGTTTTTGGGAATGCGAGTGGGAGCGGTGGTCGCCGTTGTGGTGGTGCTGTGGGGTGCGGGGGGTTGCTTTGCCTGGCGAATAGAAGCAGAAATCTCGCGGTGGAATCTGTGATGAAGATGCAGCCGCGACTGTAACACCCCCTCGCCGCCGCCGCCGCCAGTCTCTTCCACAAAGCTCCCCCCCCCCCCTCGCTCCATTATTTATTTTTCCCAGAGAAGACACCGCTGCTGTTGGCTGTGGAGGAGGCCGGGGGGAGCTTTGTGAATGGCCGTGGATTTTGCCGCGCGGGTAAAGGAATGGAACGCGTCCGAGCGGGCGGCTTGCGCGGAGGGCCTTTGTCGATTATTGACATCGGATGGCCGTGTGAGTTAGAGGATTCAGCGGCGGCGGCGATCTTGGGGAGGCCCTCATTCAGCAGTGGATTGACCCTGGCTGCTGCTGCTGATGAAACTGCCTCGGAAGTAAATGCACAGTAGGCGTCAGGTCGCAATCGAACCCACGACCTGCTGCATACCAGGCGAGGGAGTTAGCATCTCGCCACCGTGTGTATGTGAACGTGTATGTACGTGTGTGTGAACCCGTGTGTGTGTGTGAACACGTGTGTGTGTGTGAACACGTGTGTGTGTGTGAACACGTGTGTATGTGTGTGTGTGTGAACACACACACATACACACATACGGGAAAGGTCCTGGCAAGGATTATTCAACATCGCCTTGCCAGGCACGCTGAGGAGAGGCTTGCGGAGCCCCAATGCGGTTTCAGGAAAGGGCGGTCCTGCACAGATGCCATATTTTCTGTCCGTCTGCTACAGCAGAGGTGTAGGGAATTCCAGCAAGACCTACATCTCTGCTTTATTGACCTGGTCAAGGCCTATTATACCATCAGTAGGCCTGGGCTCTGGGTTGTTCTTCGTGCTTTTGGAGTGCCTGACCCTCTGCTCACGATCATTAAGGACCTTCATGATGGTGAGCGGGCCCGGGTAAAACTACGTGGCCGGGAGTCCGAGCCATTCCCTGTACACCTTGGGGTGCGACAGGGATGTCCTCTGGCTCCCACATTATTTAACATCTATTTTGACCACGTAGTTCGTGAAGCTTTCAATAGCTGTACCGGGGGAATCTCCATATGGT